TCCCTATGGACACGCTCTACTGCACGATTGACACTTCGCGAATAGAAGATGAGAATRCCAGGCCCTCGGCTGGGCTGGTCAGAGCGACAGTGGAGAACGAAGTGCGCGCCGAACTGGATAATCCCACTTGGCGATGTAGGGCCGTGACGAAAGACCCAAAGAACCCCCACCGCATCAGGATTAGCTGCAGGGACGAAAGCGAACATGAGGCTGTGAAACGAATCGCAGAGACAAAACTAGCCCGAGGGACTCGTGTCCTAGGAGATGACCTCTACCCGATCAAGGTGGACAATGTCAGTCGCACCGCGGTGCTGAACGAGATAAACGAAATTCGGACAGAAGCCGCCGAGACTCTTGGCCGAGAGAACGACACCGAGGTTGCAAAGATAGCATGGCTCAGCAAGAGAGATATTCCCAAAGCGTATGGCTCGATGGTCGTATACCTCAAGAAGCGTTCGGAAGCTAGACGATTCATCGGCGAAGGATTCTTCGTGGCTGGAGGAGAGGCTGGCACTGCAAGAGTGTCTGAACGCCGTGAACGCCCAAATCAATGCTATAACTGCCAACAGATTACGAGCCACAAAGCTTGCCAGTGCGACCGACCGCAAGTCTGCGTCAGGTGTGCGCGAGAAGGTCACCATCATAGCAGATGCGCGGAAGCGGTCCCGAGATGCGTCCCATGCGGCGGCCCTCATGAGTCAAACAGCAGAAATTGTCAGAAACTATATCCATCACAGCATGAATAACGGATTCCGATTGTTTCAACTGAATGTAAGAAAGCAAGGGCCGGTACACGAGAGCCTGATGAACGACAAGAATATTCAGGATGCGACGGTAGTGGCCATCCAAGAACCCCAAGCACGACGGATGCAAGGAAAGCTATTGACGGTGCCGATGGGGCATCACGGATGGGTCAAGATGGTGCCGACAGCGGAGAGAGAAGGTAGATGGGTGATCCAGAGTATGCTTTGGGTGAACAAAGAGGTGGAAGCGGAACAGGTGTCAGTAGAGTCCCCAGATGTGACGGCAGCGGTTATTCAGCTGCCGGAGCGTCTGGTCTTCACGGCGTCTGTCTACGTCCCGGATGGAGATGCCGAAGCTCTACAGGGCATATGCAGTAAGCTTGGTAGGGCCATCACGGAAGTGAGGCGAAGATCAGGGAGAGTGGTGGATGTGGTGATTGCTGGCGACTTCAATCGACACGACCAGATGTGGGGAGGAGACGATATAGCGGCGGCAAGACAAGGCGAGGCAGATCCGATCATCGATTCGATGAACAATTTCATGCTTCGGGGCCTTCTCCGGTGGGGCACAAAGACATGGCAAAGCGGAGACTACGAAACAACGATTGACTTGATCCTTGCTTCCGAGGAGCTTCCAAATGCGGATATCAAATGTGGGATACATGGTACGGAGCACGGATCAGATCATCGCACGATAAAGACGGTGTTCGACATCTCAGTTCCGGCGCCGAAGTAGGAAGAAAGGCTTCTGTTCAAGAATGCACCCTGGAAGGAGATCAATTCAGGATAGCGAACACACTAAGGGACAGGCCAGCGGGAAACACGGTGCAGCAGAAGACGGACAGACTGATGATGGCGTTCTCAGAAGCTGTCCAGACCTTGACACCGAGAGCCAAACCGTCTCCATACGCAAAGCGTTGGTGGACCGATGATCTCACACAGCTGTGACACATTTATACATACTGGAGGAACAGAGCGCGAGCTGCGAGACGTGCCGGCCAGAACCTCTCGAACCTCGAGGGTACAGCGACCGCCGCGGCGAAGCAGTATCACGGCGCCATCCGACAGCGCAAGATGAACCATTCCTTATTTGATTTTCCCGTACGACCGACATCCGCAGCCTCAGCTGCTTAGACGACATTTGCGGCATTATGCCGCTTGACAACTGAGGGCCATCGTACCCTCATCATCATCCTCGCCTGTAGCCCATCGCTGCCTCGACCGACCTCTGTAACTTCGGCGCCGAACAAGACTAGTAGTCCTCAGCTGCGCGACTTTCTGGGCCCTCAGTTACCTCCAACCCCGACGCATAGGCCCCAAATGACTCGCTGCCCTTCTCGTAGCGCAGATACTGCATGTCCGACCTTTGCAGCCGTCTTCTCAGAACCAGGATCAACCGATCGTTATTTCAAGTGCTCTTTTGGTTGGCTACTACAGTATGTCTGCTAGTCGTGCGTCGCGCACATGTCATTTCGGAAGGATCGGAACTTTGACGAGGCATATAAGGGTCGGGTCGAGATATCGCCCTAAGAGTCTCAGCTATGAATTAGTCAAAAGTTTATTAGACCCGGCCGGACAAGCACGGCCTCATGAACGAGGGCAAGATGTGTACGGTGAGAAGTCAATCAACCATATTTAGTTATTTCGAATTTTACTGACCTGTCGCTACTCCTGTTCTGTACCTTGTACTCTCGGAGCTGTCTGTTCGCATGAAAACGCTATTTGGGTAGGGTCTAGAGACTGACCATTCCTTACCATTGTAGGTGCCTGTGCGTCAAGTACGGGGGGTTAGAGTGGCCGGGCAAAGGGTCGGCTGACTGGGGGAGTAAATTAGATACCTTGAATTTGTATGTAGCTCCACCAAGAAATAAGTCACTCGTTTACTTGAATTATCTCAGATGCGCTCATTCCATCCTCTTCCTGCTCCTGCCAGTATCTTCATATTTGCGCCCATCGCCAACGAACGAATGTCGTTCAGTGTTAAGCTTGGAATGATCGGGATTTCCTAGACCTCAAAGATTCGCTGCTCAATCAATTTTGTGCTTCTTGGCTTTTCTTTAGCTTTCTTTGGTTTCCCTTTTCGTAACGACTTTTTTCGTGCCTTTGTGAGTTGTCGTGTTGTCAGCTGCCTCACAAATGGCTATGGTCGACCATAGGATCCCGTGTTCGACTTTTTTAGTAAGAGCTCCGTTTTTAGGGGGAATGTAGGCGACTCTTCTCGATCTAGCATTAATTCGTTGTTACTCTCGCCATCAAAATTGGCTGTTGTCGACGTAGGTAGAGTGGGAGACATTTGTGGCGTTGACTGATCCCGTTCTGGTAGCTCGCTGAGCCTCCAAAGTGCATGGAATACTGATTTCCGGACGAACAGCGATGTGGTATCTGTAGACTCTGCAGTTGGATGTGAAAATTCTGATAAATTGAAGTAAAGCCTGTGTTGCATATAAGCGCCTGAATACTGTAGACCGCACCTTCTAGCAATGGGTTCGCCAGACCCAGTCGTTGTGAATGCTGATTCGTGCTTCTCTATTTGCCGTTCAGTCACTAGCTCAAACCCCCGGATTAAAGCATTCACTGCAGCCTCCAATCTGACATCGTCGTACTTAAATTCGTATGGCGGGCGTGTATCTTCTAGCGCTCTGATCGCCGCCGTATAGTCCGGGTTTTACGGTGCTAAACGAGTGGCTTCGTCGGACTCTTTACCGTCAAGAAGAGGACTTTTCCCCGATAACTCGACTATATCCGGCATAATAGAAAGATATAAGTAACTATCTCATTTTCTCGAAGAAACGTTCACCCGGGCCTAGACGCGTCTGAGCCTCAAAAGCTTCGTACGCGATCATTTGGGCACTAAACTCATGTCATCCTTTGCCACAAATAAGTTTTTTTTAGGGTATGCACAGCCGACAATACTTATAGTTTTTCTGTAAGGTATAAATTGACGCAATGAGATATTTGGTGCCTTTCAATCGCTCCGTGATTTGAAATCTCTCAGCGTCGTCTTGTAATCTTTTGGAAACTTTGCCACTCATGATGGCTGTAGCCACATGACAGTGGTCCTCTCGCGAAACGCCAGGCACTCGCGCCTAAACTTCCTGTACGTCTTCGGGGTCGACGTAATGCAGCATTTCCTTTGATCCCATGCAAGAAGTGTAGATAACGAGCAAATTCCTAATTTGTGTCAGACTTGGGTTCGTTAGACTGAAAAGAATTGAGGCTTACCTCGTCACATTTCGCACCAATTATTTTATGCCATGTTCCAAGCTCCAACTGATCATGCATACTTGGTATCTGAAAGATCACTTTCAGTAAAGGAGATCCCAAACAGGCATGTTCTATAAGTTTCTTGCACGTGAAAGATTTGTGCTCACTCAACCTTACCCGCCATTTCGCCTCGTTTAAAGGATCCCGAGAATGGTAATAAACGATTTTTGCATATATGCGGCCGTCAGAAAGTGACCCTTCGTTGACATAATTCTCGGAAATTGTATCAAAAACGTCTTGTTCAAGTTCTGTTGTCTGTGAGTGTCTGGCAATGAATGAGAAATCGTAACGCTTACTAGTGTACAGCTCAATTGTCCACCAATTTCCTAATCGACGGATTCCAAGACAGCGTTGGTGCGACTTCGTCCTTCAGCGCAACGAATATGAGCTTCAGGAGGTAGATAGAGCATAGGCGGCTCTTCACGTTGAATATCCTCCGGTGCTAACTTTGATAGTCTTAAAGCAGTCACGAATATCTCCTCAGAGACTTCTCCCAGGATAGGATTTCGAGGATTAATTCGATCGCAGCCCTCTTTTTCAAACATACATTTGAGTTTATCGACTTTTTTACACTCAATGTTGCCGTTGCAAGATGAATTGTCAGGCGCGAATACAAGGTCTTCGATCTTGGTTTTCACGATACCTTGGTATCTTCTCTTCTTTTCTTTGATGATACTTTGGTTAAATTGTTGAGTTGGCTGCTCCTCAAGATGTCTGCGCAGTGTCAGCAAGGCAACATGGATGAGAGACTGGGGCAAAAAGGAAAACGCAAGCTTCCAGTACCGTCAGATCACCATGTGGCCAAGCTAATTCCTGTTAAATCACTTCCTCCCAACCAAATAGATAGCTCTTTGTTCGAAAGTCTGTGTTTCATGCATTTTGAAAAATTGAGGAAAAGTCCCAAGTACCAGGCCAATGGTCAGAATATGAGCCAATGCGCTCGTCTCAAAGTGGATCTTTCTTTTCGGAAAGCGAGCCAGCGTATTTACAAGACACGCCCGTCAACAGCAAAGCCCAGGACTATATAATGTTAGTTTAGGATACTTCACATGAACGCAGTTCAAAGAAACGACATATCGAGAAAGGGCATAGGAGGAAGAAAAAGAGACCACGCATCACTCACCGAATGCCGATGTTCCACATATCGAAGATTGAAAAGTAACATCGCCGTAGGCCGACTCAAAAGGTATTGGAGAGCCTGCAACCGCCAAAGCAACCGGTAATGTTGCCGGCGACGCAGTCCGCTCACAGACTGTTCGGATACATGCATCCGCTTTGGCGCCTCGTGTCGAAACTGTCCGAAAAGCGCTCATGATGGCTCATGCCACATCTTTCGTGCTCTGTCGAGCATGTGTTTGTAAGAAGCATGACTCCTTATGATGTCCATATCCCAGCCACCAGCGGGTCGGACCACCTTAGTCATACGGTCTCAACAATAAATGACACCGAGATACATCCGACTCAATCATAATGATTATCTTTGTCGTTGATGACAAGTCCCTCGAATATAAGTTGAGAATTTAGATCGGGGTACATTCGTGTCAATATCATCCTCAACGAAGCGGTGCATCACGTTCCCGATTATTTTGTGATAGGTCGTGCGCAGATATCGGCTGGCTTCAAATTCGGCAATAAGAGCTATTTACGGACTTGAGAGTAGCTTTCATTTCAAGTATGAGGACTACGCAACAAACCGCCCTGTGAATGCGAATACTCCGCAACACGTCGCTACGATACGTTACAGATCCTCGCCTTTAATGATCCTGCGGTCGTCGAAGCTCAATCATCATTTCCAAATCTTCATTGAACCAAACTCCCCCTGCCCCTCCAGATACACACCTAGCTGTTATGTGCGTCCACATAGGACCGCGCATTTGCTCGAGGGGTGCTACTACCCGGGCCTTGGGAGCGCACACTACTGCCTGGCAGTTGCCGTAGGTAGTCGAGCGGCATGTACCAGCATCGATCGTAACATTCCCATCATCGTCGGTGAAACCCGACCAAGCTGCGATAGCAGATGGACAGTCGAGCCTGTTTGGGCCGGGGTTCTGCAAGAATCTTCATCAGTGCTGTGATCGCAAATTCTCAATTTAGTTCCTACCTCGATGCAGGCTAATGGTAGATAACTTTTCTTGAGGTCATTCAGAAGAACCGAACTGTCGACTTCGTGAAGAGAGTCCCACAGAGGTTCGTGGGAGAGTGGAAAACTGGAACTGCTAGGCGAGGATCGAAAGAAGGAGTGTATAAATCTCTGACTCCATCCCAACATAACGAGCAGAAGTAGCGCCCCAGCAATGCTTGTCGCCCATGAACTTGGTTGCCGTTTGATGGGAGGAAACAAAGTTTGCTTTGCCTCTCGCCCCGACAGGCGTGCATCCATCCTTACAATATAAGGCAGGCAATGAAACAGACTGGACTTTATCCTTACTCAATTGTACGGTTGAAATGACCGACGAGAGAAGAAAACGAGGTAAAGACTAACAGAAGGCGTGAGGTCGTGAGCGCGGAGACAGCTTGATGTGGCAAAGCGTGGATGAGATCGTTCCATTCTTATTAGATTGCCCTCACCCGATTTATCTACACTCTACGTTATTTTAGGTTATCACCTGCCATTTTAGGGTGTATCGACAGGGGCCGAGTAGCCGGGTCGCTCGTCTCGTAAAGCTCAATAATTCAGAGGTCTGTGGTCTAGGGTCTAGGATCAGTGTACTCTATAGCTAGAGAGCGCACAGTCCTATGGAAATCGCGCATTCCATATAGTAGGCCAAAGTGCAAGGCAGCGGCAAACATAACGCGAAGGCATTTACCAATTCAACATAGAACGTATCATGAATAGAAAGGGAGTTTGTCTAGTTAGACTAACATAGAACCGTGCCTACGAACATATTTATCTAATGATAAAGAGGGAAGGAAGTTCCGCTTTACTGGATTGAAACTGACTTCAAGTAGACTACGTACTAGTCAGACCTATCTCACCGTTACCGGTAGCTCTAGGTCAATCTACTTAGCAAAACTGGAAATTAATACCGACTCCTTGAAACGGTGGACTGAAATTTGCCATTACACAAAACCGTGCATGCGACATGCGTCGAGGCGATGAGCGCCACAGATTTCCCGACCTGACCGGGCTGCTCTCTCAACTCCATGTTTGAGATGAAAAGTGGCCATGATTAAGTTCCCTTACAGGCCCCTTGGGCGTGGATTTGATACGGATCTTGCCAACTTGTCCATGTGCCCGAGATGCCTCTGAAATGAATATACCGTTGCTTCCGAACTTGTTGATATTCACTGTCTGGATTCTGGCCCAGCTAAATACACACGTGCCTCGAAATCGGCAAAGTCGGCTTTCCACCTTGAGCAATGCTTCTCAGTTTAGGATACCATTCCTTGTATTAGCGCACTTTCCTCGGTCCAGGGTGCAGCGGCTAACTATTTTAGCGAAAACTCTTCATCCCAGAAATCATTTGAGTTCGTGGCTTGCGCATTCCGTCCGAGTACTGAATCTAGCGGGCGTTTTCTTGGGCCCGCTTACTCAGGTATGGACATTTGTTGTTTTTAGAATTATGTTCCAGCTACGTTTGTTAATCCGCTCGAGATCGAGACGCGGCAACTAGCTTATGAGGGTGTGTTGAGAGACGTCGACTGGCGTGGATCTTTGAACCCGAAGAATTTGGTGTGCCTCGTATTAGCAGCTCTCTTGCACACTATTTAAGAAGTAAACGCGGATAGGCTGCTCCAATTTCCCTATCAGTCCGCGTACCAAATCATTCAGCGCAGATCTTTGCTCAAAGCCGCGCGTTTTGCGAGGTGGGGTGTCACGAATGCGACGTTGCAAAGGGCTTCTTATCATCTGCTTTTATTCTGGCCATATTTTAATATGCAGCTGTACTGGTCGCATCACTTTTGAACAAACACAAAGTCGTTTTCGTCCAAACGGCCAAGGCAGCAACAGTGGGGGCTGGCAATAAAGTTGTCCATCGTCACGTCATGGACCTACCGTAGCTCTTATCGGCTACTAGGCGATCTATACCGGGGCGGGCCGATCTAGACTGTAAAAAGGAACATTGAAGCGTGGAGCAGGATGGACTGCTTAGCTTGACTTTTCAGCTCCTCTTGATTCCTGGCGTCTGGTCAGGTCATGATTGACACCTCGTATTCGAGCTTGTTCCGTGTTTCAATTCTATATGTCTCATAACCCCGCCTTGCTCCGTGCTCAATCAATGACGGAGTTGTTGGCTTTTGAGAGTTCCGCAACATAATTTAAGGATGACTGCAGTAGCACAGGCAGACACGACACGACCCACTATTTGCTTTCCATGGGGGTTGAAAATTTGCAGCCGTTTCCTGTTGAGGGGGATGTGTGTGTATTGACTGTGGCTAACTAAGCTCTCGGGCCGAGTGGTCCGGCTGATATACAAGGTAGGTGCCTCAGGCACCTTCAACAACTATCACCCCTGTATTTATGTAGAGGCTCAATGTACTGATGTTCACACCGTGCCTGCTTCACATCCAAGGGCTCTTCAATTTGGCTGCCTGAGGTTTCAATCCAGCCAAGTGTCGTCAACAAAACAGTCAGTCACCTGTACCCCTCATCTTCAGCTTTACATTTCATCCATGATCGATGGCAACATGGCTTCCACAAAACGGGCAACAGCGACATTGTCCGTTGATGAAATCGCCGCTATGAGCGATGCCGAGCTTGGCCAGTTCATGACGAAACATCGTTGTCCCGATGGCGGTTATGAACTTCCTGTCGACGGATGGGACAAGCTGTCCAAGGATGAACGCAGCCGTCTCGCCGAGAGACTGAAGTGAGTTCTCTCCCACCTGCTCAACGCTCGTCCTTCACGATCTCCGCTAATGACAACGTAGGGCCTAAGAACGAGGCCTAGCCCAGAACCCCACGGCTTGTTCTCGCCCACTCGATCTCGACGACCTCGATGCGCGCCTACGTCGAGTACCGGCCGACAATAGCTTTTCGTTATGCCTTGAACCAAGATCCGTCGAGCGATCGGAGTCCGCTACGCCACCGTTCGACCCACAGGTCTACGGGACGAGACCCGAAATCGAGGCTTACCATGGGCTCGTCGATGAAGGTGGCCGCCCATTATACCCCATCGACCTTATCCAGGATCTGTTCCGGGACTTGGATAGCTACGCCGAGACATTACGGCCTTGGCAAGTAAATATTAGCCCACTATCCCTCCAGGCATATTCCAGAAACAGTTGCAGAGGTGGCGAGACTTCCGCAAGTGGCAAAACGACAATCGTGGCCGCGAGGATGACGATGGTGGTTTCCCAGCGTACGTCGAACGGCAGAAGTATATAATACAGCAAGATTGCATCGGGTTAGTCGAGTGGCAGAAATACATATTACCACGAGAGTCCAGGAAGCAAGCTGATGCGGAGAAGAAGGAAGCTACTGCGAAGCGCCTGGCTGAGATCGATGCGAACCCATCATGCCTTGAATCGCAATGGGAAGACGTACAATGGGAGCGCGAAAGGCGGCGAAACGCTTACAGGGAAGCGGCTGCCGAGGGTTCCGCCACTATGCCGAAGCAGTGAAGCGCCGGCTTGCGCGCCACGACTTCACGCCACCATTCGAGCTCGACGAAGACCCCAAGAAACAGGACAAGCTAACGACATGGATCGAGTACCTCAATTACGAGTATTGGTGGCTTGACAAGCACACCRGCGACATCGAACGCCTAGAGCCAGAGCACGACAAGCTGTGGCAGGAGCTCGTCGATGAGAATATCCTAAGACCCCACGAGACAAAAGAGTTTGTGCAGACCGATGCATCTGGAATGGAGCGCGAGACAGAAAAGGACCAAGCCATGAAGGCCGTGCAGAGRATAGARTCTAAAGCGAAACGAATATATGTGTTGACTCAGGAAGACCCAAAACGTTTGCATATTCCCAAGGCAAAGCGAATAGCGATGTTGAAACATGGCGCGGAGGAATTGCTTGCCGCAAAGCGACGATTGGAACAGGCTCGAAGACGATCGCATCTCATTGTGCAATTTGTTCGGGCCACATTCGACTACGATGAAGCGAAGAGAGATGCTGCTCGTCACCGTATCCTTGTGCAATGGGTTCTGGACCAGGTTCCCCTGATTGAGTCTGAGGTGAACCTGTCTAAAGCTTCAAGGCCTGGGTCTAATGGAAGGACGAGGACAAAGAGGAGGCGAAATGCCGATGAAGGGTCCCCGGAGGGACAAAGCCCAAAAAGGGTGAGGTTTGACGTCCGGGAATGCAGGTTGGCCAACACAAGGGTCCAGTCAAAAGCCACAGAGACGCAGGCAGAACCCGAACATCCCGCCGCTAGCAGTTTGCCCCAGGATGACGCTCAGGCAATGCTTGGAGGACCCCGTCGCAGTCCACGTATTGCGACGCGTCGAGACGTCTCCAGGATAGCTGTTGAACCTAAAATATTCCAATCAAGATCACGCTCGAAATCAGAAGCGACGGCTGTACAGCCATTGAGGCCTCATTCGCAGATTCAGGACACGAAAGCGAGGAGACGGTCGCGAAGCAGCAATCAGGGTGATATAGCTAAATTTACATGGTCGTCGCCGAGGCGTCGGCAGCGAAGGCGTAGCTGATGGGGGACTATGAGTTTAAGTAAGCTAATAATACATATTTGAAACGATTCTTCAACCACTGTCGAATGATGACTTTACGATCTAGCCACAATTCACAAAAGGATGCACTCGTTTCTTATCCTATCGTGATCCTATTTATGGCGGGCGTATGCAACTCACTTAGACTCTGCGTACGGTAGCGACACCTACTGCTAACACTCGACCGTTGTCTGAACCAGTCGAGTGGTGATCCGTACGGAAATCGAATTAGTCGAACGGGATTGGTATGCCCTATCCGCCTAGTATGCATAGAATCATGTACAGGTACATCATGCACCCAGTACAAACGTCCTAGTACGGCGACGTGCTTCGATTGGTAGACATACCTTACCGGTCTCGAGCAATTAGTATAGAAATAAATACGGGCTAGTATTATAGGGAAACCCGTCGGGGTGGGCTGGTATACAAAAATGCCCCGGGCAGTACGAACATTGTACCTGTCTACATTGGGTCACCACTCG